GGTTCAGGCACCGGAACCGTTTTAAAAGTATCGATTTGGCACCGGAATCGAGAAGAAAAAAAAAAACGATACCCATCCCTATTCTTTACTGTCCTTTCCTTGGTTATGTATCACCAATATGATTGCCTCTTTCCAAGACTGAGGAAGCTCTCCCTCTTTAAGTGTATGGTTAAACGATCAGAGAAGTAAGGGTGTTAATTCGGAGCGAAATATTTTGTACCATTCAGACGGATATCCATCCTTTCCGGGAGATTTATTTTGTCTTTAAGCTATTTATTGCCTTATCTAATTGGTCTTGCATTAGTTCAGCCGTTAATATTTTGTTTTGTTCTGAGCCAATTGACGGTAAGTCCAATGAATAAAGAAAATTTGAAATCGATTGCGTGTTTGCTTGAGATGGCTGAGAATAAAGAGTTTTATAAAAATGTTCAAAATAATTTAGAATATCTTTTATACAATTACTTATTTTCCCTGTAACTGGGTTTTTAATATTCTTTACTATGTGTTTTGTTCTTTGCTTGCAGAGACGCCAAGCTAAAAGTTCCATGGCTCTGGGCCCAGTTTCATAGAATCTCTGTTTAGTAAATTTGGCCTGTTTTTCTACATCATCTTCATATATTTTATTGATTTCTTCTCTCACCGTCTTTATTTGATTCAGCAGATTTGAGTTATTATTCTGTCTATGTTCATCTTCTAAATTTTTTATTTTTTCTTGTAGTTCCTGAAACTTCTTCTGTTTGGCCTTTTTCCGCAATGAAGTCAAGAGAATAATTTCCCCCTGTATCACCGCCTTAAAGGCATCCCATAACACATGAGGTGAAACCTCTCCATTATCATTGTCCTGTAGGTAGTGCTCAAATTCAATTTTATATATAGAGATATATCTCTCACACCAATACTACAATCTTTAACAATATGAAGGTCTGATTTAAATGTGAAGAAATAGTCTATCCTGGAATAAACTGTATAATATGTATACTGTTTACCTTTAGGGTTTAACTCCCTCCAGACGTCAATTAGGCCTAACTCTTTTATTAGTTTCCGCACCATTGAAGCCTGTGAGGTTATTTTCTTCATTCTTTTTGTGCTATACAGGTCCAGTTTAGGTTGGAGATGGATATTCAAGTCTCCTCCACATATCAAAGTACCGTTTGTTTCTGAGGCTATCAACTGGAATATTTTCTTAAAGAATAATTTCCCACTGCCAGGAGGTGCATAGATATTAAATAAAGTAACCATTTTTTGATCAAATTTTCCTTTTACCAATATAAATCTTCCTTCCTTAAAATAAAGTAACCATTTTTTGATCTAATTTTCCTTTTACCAATATAAATCTTCCTTCCTTGTCCCTAATTTCAGACATAAACTCAAAGGTTTGTGAGTTAGGTATTAAAATAGCTACTCCTCATTTTCTACCAGACAGATGTGATGAAAAGTAACAGTTTTTAAAACCCAATTTTTAAAATTGTTCATGCTCCAAATTCGACAAATGTGTCTCTTGCCAAAATATAATGTTTGTTTTCTCTCTCTTAATCTTTGCTATGGCCCTGCTTCTTTTTACCACGTTATGCAACCCGTTGACATTGAGAGTCATTATCTTATATTCCTGGTATGTCTTAAACATAGTTTTATATATTGACAGAATGTACCCATGAAAGTCAGAACAATGCGATTTAAAACCAAAACAACTGCTAAACTATTTATGACAAAAAACAAAGTCATTCCGAACAATGATTTCCACTGTAAGGGTTATATAATTATAACCCTCTCAACAGAGGGTAAATCCTCACTTTTAGTGAGGGCCTCTCAGCTCGTGATATAAAGAAAAGAAAAAAATCTCACTCTTAGTAAACAATCACGAGAAAGTTCAAATTATTTGGTCCCCTTGCGTCGATCTATATGTCCTTATACAGTAAGTGGAGGGGGTTATCCATGACAAGGATGAGGGTAGACAATCAAAAGTGGCGATTTAAGGAAAGAATGAAAAGGTGATTATCTAAAATACTTGACTTTAAATATTAAAGTGACTTTTCTTATCTTTTCTTAATGGAAATCCTCTGCCCAGTTCAAATATCACTACCTTACTGTACAATAAACAAGACAGAAGTAAACATTTCTGTCCTTAGTGGATATTAGCGTTTATTTAATAAACACATCTTTAATACTGATAAAATAAAATAAAATATATTGTAAATGGTATGTAAATGGTAGCTGTACTCCTAACACTATTATCACTAGTATGTAAAATAATCAAAACGTTATTATTTTGGCTTGTTGGTTTTTAAATTAAATTGGTTTGTTACCAATTTACCTGTTGACTGGTTGAAGCGTTCCTTTGCGACCTGGATGTTGTTTTTGAAGGTCTGATGCTGGCCAATATCAATCTCAGTCTGGCTGTTCCAGTAATCTGCTCCCACATTCTGTCTGATCCAGTCTGTCTTCGGCACAGCTTTCTTCATGTTGCTGTCAAAGTACATAAACTGCTCATCATTGACCAGACCAACCGCAGTGAGCTCTGGGAAGCCACTGACTCCAGACACACCAGCGTAGAAGTATTTCAGAGAGTGTGTTCCTGTGGACCGAGACACAAACAGAGAGAAGTTTAGACAACATCTCCACATAAAGCCTGTTCAAAATTCACACTTTAAGAGTTACATCAACACTGAAATTCACAATTAGTCTATATTAAAATAATTTATGCCATAACAGGTGAAAACAGTTACCTATATTGCAATCTTTAAATTGACTAATAAAAAAAGAAAAATGCCACCCTGATATACAAAAGGACTGTAGCTTTAGTTGTTTATTAATTAAGTTCATATTACAGATCTTCCTAAGTTGCCTAAATTTACATTTGAGACCTTGTCAGTTATTGTACTAAAAATATAGCAAGATGTGCTGTACTTTTTATTAAAACAATATTTACTCAGAATCAGTTTTGTTGGTCAAGTTTGCTAAAACACAGAAGTCATTCTGATTTCAGTTACCTTCAATATATAACACAAGAAGACAGATAAAAAGACTTATATCTAGACACAGTAAACTCTGGATATGGGTTATTTACATGTATGAGACTTCAAGATCTCACTTCAGGCAAAGACAAATGTAAGAAGAACAAATCTATTATTGAATATATTACTTGAAATCTGTCCAACAATAGAACAAAGAAAGTAAAATGCTACAATAATGATTTGTATTTGATTTATCTATTTAACAGGAATGTATTATTGTTATTATTTATTAGTGCAACGGATTCAGTCATGTGAAAGGAATGAAATGCAATAAGTTTCTGGTATTTTAGGACGCCAGATTAGTAGGGATGTAACGATTCACTCAACTCACAATTCGATTCGATTCACGTTTTTTTTTTTTACAAAATGAGATTTAAGACAAATTATAAATTAAATGTGTCCTTTTATTATTGCTTGGACAAAATACTGTTCGTTTCTTTGTGAAATTGAAATATTTTATTACAAAATACTGTTCGTTTCTTTGTGAAATTGAAATATAACACTTTAATAATATACTAATA